AGGGAAAGACTAACTTTATTAGAACAATAATAGCTACTGCTTATTGAGAACACCTGTCTATGCAAAGTCCTGCTAATATATATCTTTTAATCTTCATAACAACCTCTTCATAGTAGGTGTTACTGTTGAACCCATTTTACAGATGAGGAATCTGAGAGTCAGTTTCATAGCTTATAAGTGGCAACGGTGGAATTTGAACCCAGATCACCAGGCTCCAAAGGCTTATTATTACCGTTACTCCACATTGACAGGTAGCTCTTTAAGCTCCAAATATTTGAGTTTTTTTAAACTAAATTGGACAGAAATTTTTCTAAATTAGGATATATTTGATTGCGTATGGAAACAAGAAGTTGGAAAGTCACTTCTTTTATCTTGAAGACTCTGGGTTATTATCCGGATGCCAGTGGCTGGCCTGGGTGTTGGTGCGGATGAATGTAGGTGTGGGTTAGGACGTTGATGCAGTGGTTGCTTTAGCCTTTAAAGTCTTGACGGCTGTGCCTCTTCTCTCCATTTCTTGCTGTTCGCTACCACATCTTACAACTGGCAGTGTTGCTGCTCTCCCTGCACCTCCATCCCCCACTAATTAGCTGTGTCCTGGGAAACCATACAACTAAGTTCATTAGATTTATGAGCAATGTACAGAGGCTCTGGAATCAGGCCCTTATAGGAACAGAGTGCATGGGCTTTATAACCCTATATTATTGCTGTCCTGGGCCTTTTTTTATTTCCTTTGGGGCTCCTCAGCTGAATTTTGCATAGCTGTGCCAGTTTGGGGGAGATGATACTGACTTTGGCCTCAGATATACTGAAATTGAGGGGCCAGTTTGACAGTCCCATGGAGATGGGTTAAAGTCAGTTAGAGCTGTGCTAGCTGGCCCCATAGCCACCACCCTCGCGTGGCTACTGAGCACTTGCAGTGTGGCTGGTCCGAATCGTGATGTGCTGCAAGTGTGAGATATACCTTAGATTTCGAGGACTTAGCACAAACAAGAGTGTCCGATATCTTGTTAATAACTTTTGTGTATTGATTACATGTTGATCCAAACATGATTCATTGATTACATGGTAATGTCCAAAATGATAATATTTGGGATATATTGAGTTGAAGAATGTACTGTTAAAATTAATTTCACCTGTTTCTTTTTGACTCTTTAATGTGGCTGTGAGAAAATTAAAAATTACGTGTGTGATGATAAATGGGGCTCACATTTATATTTGTCAGACAGCCCTGGATTAGAGATGACCAGGGTTAGATACTGCAAGGATTGAGCTGGCAGTCAAACGTGTGGAGAGGAGGAAAGTTTGCTGACAGACCTCCAGGCCCTGTGCTCAGTCTTCCTTCTGTCACAAGCCGGGCTGGCACGCTGAGGCTGCTTTGTAGCACACCCAAGGCTTAGTGGGGATGGAACTGGGAGTTGAGACTGGACTGAAGAGGGGACCTGTACATCCTAAACCTGGGCAGTGAACAGCCAGGCAGTGCTTTTGAAGCGAAGTTGGCAGGATGGAGTTGCATTTCATGAAAATCTGCATTCCTCACCCTGCCTGCACTGTGGATAGGGGCTCGGAGGCACGGCAGGAGGTGTGAAGGCATGGGCTGGCTGTGGCAGGAGAGATGCTCAACTTGGAAGTGGGTGACTCCTCCCTTGCCCCTTCCGCTTGTCCAGGTCCCTCCAGTCCTGGAAAAGTGAGCTGAAATTTCACCTTCTCCGAGAGGTCTTCCCTAGTCGTGGCAACTCTTGCTTCCCTAACTCCTGTCACACGTGCATGTTGTGCTACACCTTTTATTCTGCCATGGCTGATAGATCCTCAACATCCACAGGGGATAAGGCCTTCTGCAAATATCCCGTGTTGGAAAATACCATATAATTTCTCCTGTGAAATTGGGAGGCGGGGCAGTTAGCTGGAAACCAGTCTTGAAGCGTGTAGAATTCAGAGGTGACCCTCAGAAGAATCATATGCCACCATCCCAAGTCTGTGGTGTATCATTCTGGAGGGAGGGAGATATTCAGTCATCATATTCCAAGGGTCTGTGGCTCAGTCCTCCAATTGTTCTGTTAGTCTTGTCTCCCTAATTCAATTGTGAGCCCTCAGCAGAGGTGTTCTTCTCTTCTTGGCCCTAGAAGCCTCTGCCATCTACAGTGCTGAGTATATAGATAGAAGAATGAATGAATGGTGGAATGACTGTGGGCTCCACGAGGGCAGCAGGGATCTGACTGCTGGGACCAGCAGTGTCTCATGGTCCCATGCACGTCGAAAGCATTTACTGCGTTGTTGTTGAGTGGATGAGTGCAACGACGTGGACACCTTTATTTGAGGAGCACAGGGTGTCATTCAGTTGGGTTCTGTTAGCTGGCCTGTGCATAGAAGAAAGATCTCTTCACCTTGTTTACAGAATGAATCTTTATTGGAAGGTCGAGGGATTTTAAGGATGTTGGTGGAGGGTGTAAACCTGACAGAACATGGTAGATGGGGTTCGTGTGGGTTGGGAAACCATCTTCAGTGTTCTCTTGTGAATGGTAAGTAGGAGACTCTGAGTGGAAGGAAATAGTGGTAACTGTACCTTTCTCTCTCCTTTTCTTATTTTCATCCTTTAGATTCACCCAAACCACCAGTTGCTCCCAAGCCGAAGGCTGCCAGTCCCCTCACGCCAGTGACGGCACCCAAATTCCCCTCGTCCCCCCGGCCCGAGTGTCTTCACAGTCCCAACTCCATGTCCAGGGGGCCGAAACCCCCCATCGCCCCGAAGCCCAGGCTGGCTACCCCCAGTGAGTGGAGGGCCAGCGTCTACATGATCAACAGCTTGAACAAATGCAGCAATGGGAAGCTGCCCTGCGTAGACAGGGGGCTCTACGACGAGCACCGGTCCACCCCGGAATGCTCCGAGCCTGAGGCAGACGAGGATTACATCGTGGCCCCCGGGGCTCCGGCAGCAGAGGACGGACCCAGGGATGGGGGCTCCGTGGAGAATGCAGTCACGGTGCCTCCGGAGGCCAGCGGGGGGGAGGGGTGCCAAGAGAGAGGCAAGGCGTGTGAGCAGGAAGGGGCAGCAGCTTCAGAGGACTGGGCAGCCCCGGCGGAAGCAGTCCTGGGTGGAGAGGACGATGGAGGCGTCACCCCCACTCCTGAGAACGTGGAGGTGGAGGACTGTGCCTGTGCCCTGGGGGCAGAGGAGCAGAAGTTCACAAGTGAGGATGAGGAGAAGCAGGTGGAAGAACACAGCGTGTACAGCCTGGAGGACGGGGGTCCTGGGGATGGAGAGGCGGTCCTTCCAAGCGATATCATTCTAACTCACCTCGATGCAGAGGACCCAGCAGCTCGTGGTGAGGAGCCCGGGCCGCCTGTGACACCCAGGGAGTCAGAGGAGACTGGTGAGGAAGGCCGCACCAACACAGAACTGGGGGCACCAGACGAGTGTGTGGGCTCTGACGGGCCCCCTGAGTGGGACGCTGCCAATGGCGGCGAGGAGGCCCCAGAGAACGAGGGGTTGGCCCCCGGTGTCCCGGAGGCGGAGGCGGCCACAGACAGCCCTGACATCCCTCAGGAGGCGTGTGAAGATGCCCCAGGAGGTGGTGGCCAGGACGGTCAGGCTGAGCCAGCTGACCAGAAAGAGAAACCTGACCCAGAAGAAACAGCAGTGGTCACCCAGGAGGTGGGAGGGGACCCTCAAGAAGGTGAGGACCCTGTGCAGGATGAAGGAGCTGAGGAGAGCTGCCAGATCATTCCTTTCGAGAGGGACTGTGTGGACGACTTTGTGGCTCCACTCTCAGGACGTCCCTACGAGTTCTTCCCAAGCGAGAGCACCTCTTTCTGTAGCGAGAGCTGCTCTCCTTATTCCGAGTCAGCACAAAGCTTAGAGTCCGAGCAGGAGCCGCGGTCGGGGGAACGGGCGCAGCAGGACCCCGTGGCTGGGCCTGGATGTGGCCGGCGTGGCTCCCTGCAGGGTGGCGCTGGGGAGGGACCCTCTGTCCCTGACGTGGTGGTCATGCCAGAGGAGGAGGATTCCGCGGACGACGCGCTCGCCAACCCCTATGAGATGGGAGTTGGCCTGGTGTGCGGGGTGGGCCCTGGGGAGGGGGAGAAGCCTGAGGCACAGGCTGCCTCGGGCACCGCGAGTGGCTGTGGATTGAAGGAAGAGGTGAGCTCTGATGCGGAGGGCGGCCTGGTCCCCATCGACAGGAAGAATGTCACCACGAGGGCCAGGCCCCACTCCGGGAAGATGGCTGGCTACGTCCCAGAAACTGTCCCGGAAGAAACGGGACCGGAAGCTGGCTCATCAGCCATTGGCATTGGGGGTGCCACCAAGGAGGCGAGGAAGGCGGTCCTGTCATTGGAGGGGAGGCCGCTGGACGTCGGCAGGGCCTTGCCGGCAAAGCCCAGAGCCTTCACTCTGTACCCGCGATCGTTCTCCGTGGAAGGCCGAGAGATCCCCGTGTCCCTGTGCCGGGAGCCCGAGGCGTGTGGCCTGGACGGCCACGGGATCAAGAGGAAGGACGACAACCTCTCTCTGCCCTGCATGATTGGCTCCTCTGGCAGCTTCTCTCAGAGGGGCCACCTCCCCTCCAGCGGCACCTCCACCCCGTCTTCCGTGGTTGACATCCCGCCCCCTTTTGACCTGGCCTGCATCACCAAAAAGCCCATCACGAAGAGCTCCCCCTCGCTCCTGGTGGAGAGTGAGCCCCCGGACAAGCACACCAAGAAGAAGAAGCCGTCCTTTAAGCGGTTCCTGGCGCTGACGTTTAAGAAGAAGACAGAGAGCAAGGTGCACGTGGACGTCAACGTGTCTTCGTCCAGGTCCTCCTCGGAGTCCAGCTACCATGGGCCGGCCCGGCTCCTAGAGATGGACCGGAGGAGCCTCAGCAACTCCCCGCAGCTCAGAGCGAGGACCGGCAAGCTCTGGGCTTGCGACTCGCCCTCCTCCCTCATTTTCTACAGGGACGGCAAGAGGAAGGGCGTCCCCGTCAGCAGGACGGTGTCCAGGGTGGAGTCCTTCGAGGACCGCTCCCGGCCTCCTTTTCTGCCCCTGCCTCTGACCAAGCCGCGCTCCATCTCGTTCCCCAACGCTGACACCTCGGACTACGAGAACATCCCGGCCATGAACTCGGACTATGAAAATATCCAGATTCCACCTCGGAGGCCCCCAAGGGCCGGGACGTTTACGAAGCTGTTTGAAGATCAGAGCAGAGCCCTGTCCACAGCAAACGAGAATGACGGCTACGTGGACATGAGCAGCTTCAACGCCTTCGAGAGCAAACAGCAGAGTGCAGACCAGGAGGCAGAAAGGTACCGTGAAATGACATTTCTTTTGCTGTTCGCCAGGTGTAACTATCCGAGAGGCAAGCTTAGGCGTAGGGGACAGAACGGACTTGCTTTTTAGCCTCAGGCTCTGTTTCTCTCTAGCTTTGTGACTTGGGGTGAGTGGCTTCAGTTACTTCATCTGGGAAATGGATTTGTGCTACCTCTAGGCAGAGTGTTTGAAAAGATGAGAGTAACTAATCTGTTTGAAAGTATTGGCTAAGATGCCAAATATAGTGCCCATGTGAGTATATGTATTTCTATTATTTGGGGTACATTTCTCATCTCCTAGGTAGATGGCTTTACTAGTCCCTTCTGGGAAAGTCACCAAAAGAGAAGGTTCTGGAATCTTGTCAAACTAAACATCTTTCACCATCAGGAAAATACCCTAAATTGAGATTGAGACCTTCTTATTGTGTCAATATATACTCTGTTCAAAGGAACTAGAAAAGACAATTTATTTAAATTGTTTAAAGAGCTAAGGGTGCCCTGAGCTAAGTTTCTGAATAGAGGTCTTTAAGAGGTATGTCCAAGCTGATTTTTTTTTTTTTTTTTTTTTTTTGGACTCAGTCACCTTGGAAGTGAGCGTGAAACACTGCAATTATTGACAACAGTGGCGGTTTTCTGACCCCACCTTCCCGAGACTGACTGAATGTCCTGTTGACCATCCCACGTGGATAATTGCCAAATCTTGCTGTTTTTTATGCACCGTGGATGCAACTTAAAGGCACTTCGATTCAGCCTCAACCATTTACGTGCTTGGGGGCACCTGATCTGAATTAATGAAAAGTCAGAATGGTGGTGATTTTAAAGGAAACCCTGATTCTTTCCCCTCGTGTGCAGTAACTCATTGCAGCTCGGCACAGCTGTTGCTGCTCAGAATTCCCAGGGGACCTGCAGTAATGAATAGATAAGAATGATTTGCAATTAGCATTAGCTCTCTCTGGAGTGTAGACACTAGAATTGTTTGTGTGGTTTATTCTCCTGAATTTTTCATGTGGTTCCCCACACTGGCTCCGTCTTCTCCCTGCCCCACGTCTGGGTAAGGCTATGAATTGGTTCTTCCTAGGTTTGTTTGCCAGAGCAAAGGTAGACATCAGTGCCACTGGAGGGATCCAGTTTAATTTGGAGAATGTGGATGTGTGCGAACTTTAAGAGGGTGGGAGCGGGAGAGCAGACAAGTTCATTGCGTTAATAGTTATCAGCGGGGTTTGACAAGACCCAACCCTAGCTGAATGCCTCCAGCACTAATGAAAATAGAACCAGGCTTTGAAACCATGAAATCTCCATGCTGGGAAAGACCTCAAAGAGCGTACGGTCAAACCTCCCATGTCTGATAGGTCCCTCTCTTAACTGGGTCTGTGCTTGAATTCCTTAAGCCACAGGGAACTCACCACCTCCCAGAGGTGCCTCGTCTGTTGCTAGGTACTCTGATTAAGTTTTTCTTTCTGCCTGAGGCAAAAGCTATCTCTCCCTAATGTCCCTGTCCCACTGAGGCAGAAGCTATTCTCTCTAATATCCCTACCCCACTCACGCTGGCTCTTTCCCCTCAAGCCAGGCAGCTGAGCTCATTTCCTCTTTTGTATGACTGTCCTTTGGAAATTGAAACCTGCTTCTGTTGAATCACAGAATTTCATAGTTGGCAGGGAACTTCAGCCAACATTTGGTCCTGTTACAGAGGAGGAAACTGAGGCACAGAGAGGGAAAGCAACTTGCCCAAGGTCACACAGCTCATGAGTGGCAGAGCTGGGATTTGAGAGCAGGCTGTCTCTGGAAACTACTCTTTTTTCCCCTTAATTAATGGAAAGAGACTTGCCTAAAATCTCTAAGCAATTTAGTGGAGAAATCAGTGTCAGGACTCAGATTTCCTGACTCTTGGTTCAGGAATTTGTAGTGCATTATGCTGAAGGATGCCAGGTCTGGTTGTTCAGGCTGCCCACTGCACAACCCCAGGGTCCCACTCACCTTTTAGTCTAATATGGTGCCCCTGGGGTTGTGCAGTGCACAGGCTACTTGGCCATATGCAAAGGCCTTGTTGCCTTGTTCTGTACTTAGTCCAGAAAACAAAAAAGCTCCCTTCATCCAAACTATAATGACATTAAGGGAATAAAACACCCAAGAAAACGCTAATACTTACCGTATCCTGACTGCTTACTGTGCCAGGCACCGTGCTAGGTGCTTTCCCTGTATTATCTCACATTTGGTGCTACAGCCTAGGGCCTTGGTTGAGTATCCTGACTCAACCGTCAGACTCTGAATTTCAAAAGCACTGTTGCCCCACTCTGAGTTTATTTCCCTGAAGGCCAGACTGACTGGGATGAATCTCCCGTGCAGGAACCACATCCTCTTGGACATCAATCAGTGAGCAAAGCTCTCTTCCGCTTCCCTGCATGAAACAGATGGAAGCAGAGGGAGAGAGACATCCCCGCCCTGGGCGGGAACACGTCTGGGCAAGGGCGGCTTCAGACACAAGAAATTGAGAGGCAGGGGGAACTGCCACGGGGTGAGGAACCACTGCTTCTTCACCTGAATAGGGGCTTTGAGAACCGAGCGGAGGGGTGCCGCTGACCTGAGACACGTGCCCAGGGGTGCTTGGGGTTGGACAGGACAGGACGAGAGGGTGGGAGACAGTTCCTTCCTCCTTCCGCTGCCTGTCCTGCCCCAGACCTTGCTTCAGTGTGAAGATCAGAGGCAGAAGCCAAAATAAATACTGACAGTCCTGAAAGAGCGCAGGACAGTGCTGCAGGACGTGCGGGTTCAGAGCCCACCCCGTCACTGACTTGCTGTGGGATCCTGGAGGAGGCTGGGCCCCGGTCGCTCCTCTGTAAAACGGTAGGATCGGAGCCCATCTGTACTTCTCAACCACCTGCGCTGTCACTCACTGCTTTTCTTTAAGTCAGTCCATGTTTTTTACTTAAAAAATATTTAAAAAGGAAATTTTATGCCACTGTTGGGAAATGGAAAAGCAGTATCAGGTGTCATAAATAGAAGAAGGCAATTGTAAAAGTAGGATACAAAGAGAAATTAAAATAGCACGGGTAGAGGGTTGGTCCCTTTGTTAAACAGGGAGAGGTGTTAAAGGCATCCTGGCACCACACGGAGACTTTCTACTTGGCATAATCGGAAGGATTCAGGTGGATTGAGAAGGGAATAACTCTCTCATGGTGTGATTCAATGTTATTTAAATCCAAGTCCTTTTTCCACTGACAGTGCCTCCCTTCAAGAAATGTTTTGAGTGTGTAATAGAATTCCGAGAGCCCTTAGAGATCCCTAAATCTTAGCAGCAGCTCCGGGTCTGATGGATGGTTATAAAGTTTCTTCTACGCAGTTACTTCCTTTGAGATTTGTATACACAGATAATAGCATTTTCGAAGCTACAACGATATTCTTATTAACCGTTTTCTATCTCATCAAATAAAAGCGTATACGTTTTTACCTATGTACAGTCCTCGCTCCCCCATCCCCGTATGTAAAAGAGGTTTCTTTATCCTTTGGTTTAAAGTGTATCCCCAAAGCATTCTTTTTTTTTCCTGAATTGCCTCTCATACGCACAAAAAATGTTTTCAGTCCAACACTCATCCTTTTCAAATAGGGTGTTTTATGTCCTCAGTCAGGACTCTTGGTTGGGGAACCCAGTCTTTACTTCTGAATATCCCACAGGACCTCAGTATGTTGGTTATGCACTAGGAGCTTAATAAATGCATGTCGATGAGTTGGTGATTTTGAGCTTCACTGGGGGAAAGAACTATTATTTATTAAGTATACTCTGAAACACAGTTTGGGGTGCTTTGTGTACGTTTATTAAATATCCATTTGATGCAAAACACCACACACTGGTTTGTCCTGAGTGTCTCATTTAAATCCCCATAATTGTAAGTTTGCTTTTTGCATGATGATGACTCTCCTTTAATCACTCAGTGTTATGCCTCAACACAGATCCCCAAGGCCCCTTTTCCCCATTTCATCATGAAAACTTTCAGACTTACGGGAAAGTAGAAAGAGTTTGACAGTGAACGTCCACACGCCCACCTCCTAGGTTTTACATTAACGTACTGCTGCGCTGGCTTTTTCCTCATCCCTTTCCAGCACCCTCTCCAACTCTTGACGCATATTGTTGCTGATGCATTTCTGGTGGCTTATGTTTACAGATGAGGACACGGCAGCCCAGGGAGAGCCTGTGAGAGCACGGTGGCCAAGCATGCAGGCTCCTGCCAAGCTGCCTGGCTTTCAGTCTGCCCTCCACCACTTACTCTAAGGTGACTTACCTCTCTGTGTCGCAGTTTCTTTACCTGTAAAAGGCGATGGTAGTAGTACTGGCCTCACAGTGTCATTAAGACGAAATGAGTTAATGCAGCCCAGAGTGAAATGTTCACTAGGCACTAGCTGTTATCGAGTGACATGATCAAGGTCACACGGCAGTGGATGCAGGTGGGGAATCGGGTCCCTTTCACTGAGGGAGTATCTCTCTGTCTCTCTCTCATACGACTGTTCTGCGTGTGTTTGACTCAGTGTTCAGGACCTCACATCCATAAACCAGGACCAGGCGTGAACTCGTGAGCTTCGGTGGTGGCGTGTGGTGTCAGCACTGCCTCTGCCTTCTGCGTGAGATGGAGGTGGGACTGCGGGCAACAGCCTAAGCAGCCTTGATTTGGACCCAGGACCAGGGCTTTTTGATTCCGTAATCTCGCTAGCAGAGGTGCCTACTCTGTGACTCTGACTGTAGCTATTATTTCACTTGTAACTCACGATTAGTTAGGCACCTTAGGAATTTCCAGTTCCTGTTTTTCCAGATGAGAAAACTGAGGCCCATCCTCTGTCACACAGGTAGTAAGTAGCCAAACCAAGGTTCAAACCCCAGTCTTTCTGCCTCTCGACCCAATGCTCTTTCCATGTCCTGTTTTCTTTGGTTGAAAAATGCCACGTTAGCTGGTGGGCTCCATCCAGCCGCTGTGAAGTGTCTTTGCTTGCAGGAGTGAGGCCGGGGTAGC